ACGTAATTCATTTCCCAAGCTTACAAAAAAAAAAAGAAACAAGTTATATGAATTGTTGAATGTGAAACTGATGATGTGCCCTGTAAACTTTCACTCAATCCACAATAAAAACCTTAAAAAAAAAAGAATGGCTGGGGAAAGAGAAGGAACTGGACTAGGTCCTGGCATAGGGGCACAAGCTGATAAGAAATGGGTCAGAGCTGTGAGGCATGGGGCTTGTCCTCTAAGCCCAGTTCTGCCTACATGACCTGGCCAAGCAGTAAAAGCCAGGGACTGTGTAGGGTCCCCGGGTCACAGGTTTGGCGCAGCCTGACTTCATTGCCCAAGGATTGCTTAAGGCCTGTGAAGGATGGAAGCAGGCTTGTGTTGGGACTCCTGGGTCCCAGAGGGAACAGAACCATTCGGTCTCACCATGTGAGAGAGAGGACAAAGGGTAGTGTCCTGCCCAGGGTCACCCAACATGGCAGGGCAGACTGAGCAGGGCCAGCATGCCACCGTGCCCATGACCTGGCCCTGTTCCTTGTACACCTAGGCATCCAGGGCCCATGAGCTAGCTTCCTTCATCCACCCCAAGGGCCTGACACTCACCGTGGCAGAAATACAACAGTGGGTTAATTTTTAAAGCGGGAATGACAATGTCAAGGCTGAAGGAGCCAGGTCAACCAGCTTCTTAATGCCCCAATTGGGGTTTACTTACTCAGAAATGTGCCTTTCTCACTCCAGGCTGGGGCTGCTTAAGATGCCACCCTGCTTAAAATGACAGTGAGTTAGAACCTATTATGCTGGTGGGACTGGGGCAAGAGGGGGACTGGTTTCAGGGTAGGTGGGCACTTAACCTTGCCTCCTTTTTTTTATTTTATTAAATGTTTTATTGTGAATTATGTGATAGTTTACATGGGAGAACATTAGTTTTACATTCATCCTATCATGTATCATTTTGTTGCCATGGTTACAATCCCCTCCATGCGTCATCAACCAACCAGTTGTCAGCACACAGCCCCTCTCCCTCTCTGGGTCTAAAGTCCCCAGCCACTCCATCTCTCCACATCATCGTCTCTGCCTCCA